CTCTGAAACATTTGAGCCTTGATTTCTGGTCTTAGAAGTGAGATGGGGAAGGGCAGATGAGTTTCATTTCTCCAAGATGTGTAATCAGGCTCCTGCCTCTTATTTAAACAGTTAGCTTTGGGAATAGACGTGTATGCCGAGTCACTTTAAACTCATTTCTGTCTCCCTCATGGTGCCCTCCGGGCGTCGTGCTCGCTGCTGAGTTGGAACTCAGTAAACACGTGTGGATTGATTTGGCCAGCTCTGCTCTGGCTCCCTGCTGTGGCAAAGTGACTGTGTTCTGTTTTTAGTTGTGTCACATGTGCTAATTTCTGTCAGCCACAGCCACAACCTTTAAAAAAAGCGACCGATGCTAAAAAGGGATTCCAGTGTTTGTTCAGGCGATGCCATTCACTCGCTCTAAGTGTTGTTTCTTGTATAGACAGAATCCAGATTGTAAGATCGCTCTGTCAGGGAAGGAAGACTGTATTCTCCAATAGAGCTAGTGGCAACTAACAGAGCAGGTTTCTCAAGGCCTGGGTGCTGACATCAAATCCACACTTTCACTTCTACATGTAGGACACTGGAAAGGTCACTCAATCTTTGCTCATCAATTTCTGCGTTTCTCTAGTGAGAATTATTGGGGTAGCAATAATTAATGGGGTAAATGATATATGCATATAACTTAAATCGAATACCTGGAACATGGTAAGAAACTTAACAGCTGTCACTTATTACTCCAGATGGGGCACCACTATTCCAGAAACCTGAAATGCTTCAAAATCTGAAAGTTTTTAAATACTGATATATGATGCTTTAATTAAGAAAAGAAATTGGAACATCTCAAATTTCCAAGTTGAAGTATGATTCAACCAATAAAATCTGTGCAAATATTCCAAAATCCAAGAAACTTCAAAGTCTGGTTCTAAGCATTTTGGATAAGGGATATGCCACCTGTTTGGTAATCACCTATTCTAAATTATAAGTAGTATACTCATGGTGTATAGTTCAGAATCAGACACAGAGCATGAAAAAGAGAGACTGAGTGTTTACATTTGCCTTAAGAACTGTGTCTCAGGGCAAGAATTTCCTTTTATGTTGTGATGACATCTGAAAAATAAATTCAAAAGAACTCCTGCATTTGGGAGAGAGGCCCCAAGGTTAACTCAGTAATAATACAAGATCTTAACAGTCACATGTTTCCCTGCTTGATGTAATGGTGCAGAGAGCGTGGAGACTGGCATGTTGCTAAGTGTTGATTATTAGTTGTAGGAATGGATGCTAGTTGCAGTTGCTTAATGTTCCTGGGACGTATTTGCAGGCCTGAGCAATGACAGTATCTGTTGTTCAGGTTCCCAGGCTGTGAGTGTGTGCGAGAATGCCTTGGGGTTCTATCAAGATCCTGTTAGGAAAGAGTGTCAGTCAGTTGTCACCACAGTAATACTGTACAACAAATTACTTCAACACTCATTGGATCAAAACTAGCAAGCATCCATGTCCTCTCTGATGAAGGAGTCATCTGATCTAAGCTGGGCTGGCTCCAACTGCCTGCTGGGATCCAGGTCTGCCATCTTTACTGGACCAGCAGGTTCCCTGGGGAAGGTTCTTTTGATGGCACACAGCAGAGGTCATGCTCAATCACATAGGCCTATCTTAAGCTTACATCACACATGCTGATTTCCTTGGACCAAGCAAGTGAAAGGGCCAATCCCAAGCCAAAGGGGTGGAGAAGCAGCCTGCATGCCCACTGCCATGAGCTGAGGGGTCACATGACTGAATGATGTTGTAAAGGAGGGAGGGATACTGAATCAGTCCCACTGGTTCCCCATTTGACTTCCCCAACTGTAGTCACAAAATGAATGATATGAAAAGCTTGCCTTGCCTTTAGCCATCCAGTTGTGGCTGCTGGAACCTGCATTAGGATTCTGTAGGCACTCCACTGTAGTATGTGAGCACACTGCAAATTTCTCCTTTGGTCTCTGGGAGCTTTCCCCGTGACAGACAGGAATTTACTTTACTGTAAACCGAGGAGCCCCAATTTGGACAGATACAATGGATTAGGCAGACAGCATCATTGACCCGGTTCCACTTCGTTGGCCTTCCCAATTAGGGAGAATGTTGCTGAAAGTGAGACTTCACAGATATATAGCCATCCTCTGAATCCTCTGGACCAAGCCTGGACTGGGAGAGTCTTACATTTCCAAGGTTCCCAGAGAGTGGAGAGCAGAATGGTGTTGGCCAGTGAGCATCAGTGTTAATGATCACCGGTGAACACTTCTGAGTACTTTATCTTGATCCTGGTTGATTAATTCAGAAGCTAAGTAGATAGCATTTGCACTTTTGGATTCTAGAAGCTTTTTAATAAAGCTTAGGCCCTGACTGTGCACCAATAGGGCCTTTGATCTCAGGAACGCTAGAGAAGGAGTTTATGTTTTCTCCGTGTCAAATGATCAGGCATTTGATTTTGTCAACATAGTTGACAGGAATTTCCTGTGTCTTCCCCAAAAAGGTCTCTTCTAGCAAAGTTGTTCTTAGGGGTTCGAGTGGCATTCTCCCTTGTTCCCCTGTGCAGTGAAGTGTGAGCCCTAAACAGTGTGCAAATGTGCTCTGAGGCTCAGCTTAATGATTCTGGGCATGCTCCCAGCTCCCCAGTGCAACGTATTGCTAGGTCTTGGCTTGGAGAAGATGAATCTGGAGGCTAAGATGAAACTACTGAAATGCTAATCACAGTCTCAGTGGACAGATGGACAGATAGAGACTGATGTGGACCTGAGAGCAGATGGTCTGCTCTCACTGAGGGGACAGTCTGACCACACTGTAAGCCATAGGCCAAGGAGACCATGTTGGGTGTTACCATGATGCCTTGCTCCGCAGGAAGTTCAGGATCTGCTCTTCCCGCATTGTGTAATTAAGGAGCTGCCTAAAGGGGGCACTACGATAATGGTTCAACTAGAGAGCTTGCTTGTTTGGCACATGTTGGGTTCTCATCCAGCTTAGCTGCTGCAGCTTTATCCTTAACAAGAAGCAAGAAAGAGATTGTAGAGAGAGGCTGAAAGACGTATCCAAGTCCCATTAGGGGCCAAGGCTGTGGTGTTGGGGTTGGGGACAAGAAATACTCTCCTCAATATTTTCCTGGGTATGGAGGATACACAGTGCCTGGAGGAATGTGAGAATTAGAGTGAAATTTTTCTCTAGCCAGCTTCCTCTGGGCTGCACCAACCAACAAGTCCTAGAAGTTAGTTTTCTAGTTGCAATTGGGGGGAAGATGAATTCTTCATCTTGTGAGAATGGTCATAATGGCCCAGAGCTCCCAGAATGCTCCCAGGAATGGGCATTTGACCTTGCCTTTAGGGTGTTCATACTCTGTTTCAGACAGAGCAGCTGGATTTGATTCCCTGGTCTGTTCCTGACTCCAACTTCCTGCTAATGCAGACCTTGACAGGCAAGTGGTGATGGCTCAGGTAACTCCTGTCATCCACGTGGGAGACCCAACTTGAGCACCTGTTTCCTGGTTCTGGCCATTGTGACCATTTTGGCCGTCAGTGGGTGTTTTACTAAAAAAATAAATTGAAAGTGAAATATTATTGAGCTGATGACTCATTTTCTTAAGGATTTATTTATTTTTGAGAGGCAGATTTACAGAGAGAATGAAACACAGAGGAGAGATTCCATTCACTGGTTCACTCTTCAAATGGCCTCAGCTGAGCCCATCTGAAGCCAGAAGCGAGGAAATTCTGGGTCTCCCATATGAGTGCAAGGGCTCAAGACCTTGAGCGAGGCCTCCTCTGTTGCTTTTCCAGGCTATTCATCAGCAGGGAGCTGGATCAGAAGTAGAGCAGCTGGGACTGGAACTGTTGCCCGTATGGGATGCCTGTGTCACAGGCTGAAGCTTAGCCTACTACTATACCATTGAGTCAGTCCTGAATTGATGATTCTTGCACTTATCAGAATCAGGTATCTGTATGAAGTTATCACTGGATGGTGATTTTAGAAAGTGAAGCCCCTCTAAAGTAGAAATTCCAATTTCGCTTGGTCTGAACAGTTTTCCAATTTCCATTTGCTGCCTTCATCTCCCTGCCATGAGCCTGTGGGCTAGTGCTCATTTGCATAGCTCTCCCTCTGCCTCCCCGTTAGAAAATCTGCTAGGACAAAGCCAGGCTTCCAACTGGCCTTATACATGGTTCTCTGTAACCGTGCCCATTCTCCATACTGGGCAACTTTAAGTTGTTTTCTTAGGATCATATAGCCTAGGTGGTTAAGTTCAGAACAGATTTAACACAAAGATAGTCTTTATGTGCTGTTTTCCTCTTTTCTTGTACAGCACTCCCTCTACCCCACCGCCTCCTCCCTTCTGTCTCTTCCTCCTCCAGTAAATACTCCCCTCCTCCACCAGCCCAAGGAGTGCAAGCTCAATGCCTGAGGCTTGGCTACCAAGCAATTCCAATCAATTGACTTTTGTAGAGATTTCATGAATAGGACATTCCTCTGGTCCCTGTCTCTTCCAACAAAGACATCCCTCAGCCCTCTGGAATTCAGCTCCCCTCTTCCTGGTCTGTCCCATGTTCTTCACTCTTTTTTTTTTTTTTTTGGTCTTCCCAAGATCAGATAGGTCTTGTGGAGGAATCTGTCTCTCACAGGGACTTCACATTGTTTCAGGTTCATTTCTAATGCTTTTATGGACCCAACTTCTCTTTCACGAAAGGATTCTAACACACTTTTACTCAGCGACAGCACTCATCATCTCTATTCTCGCTATTGCCTTGTCTTGCGTGGTCTCCATGCAGCTGCCCCCCCCTTCAGAGAACACTTGCACCCCTGCTTCTCTTGGGTGTGGGAGAAGGCAGGAGAGAACAGATGGGACTGGGCTCTTCCTGGATAGCCTCGCAGAGACGGAGTTGGGCTGCTCTTCCTGTGGAGTTGCTTAAGCTCCAAGGATTCTAGCTTTGTTGGCAACTGATGCTGGGGTAGTCGGTTCTCTGTCTCTCCATCTCTTATGCATGTCTTCTCCTTTCTTCCTGCAGGAACCACACCCGAGTCCACTGATCACCCTGGAGACCCAGGTGAGTAACTTCCACACCTTTATTGCTTCTCTCTGCCTCCAGGCTCCTGAGCCAGCTCTCCAGGAGGCTCACAAAGGCTAGACAGGCACCCAAGGTGGTCCTCCCCCTGGTGTTGGTAATGTAAAGGCATATGTAAGTCCGTGCACGCACACCTATTAATTGTGTACACCTGTTGCCATGTGTGACTGTGCAAGTGCACATGTGCCTGTTGTTGTGTGTACCTCCTCATGACAGGAGCCGAAGGTCATTTCTTTTAGATGTTCATCGGTCCTTTGCTCCTGCCTAACCGTCAAAAGGATATAAGTGGGAAGGCAGTGAGGAGAGAGGAGAACTTGGCAGTAGCTAGATGTTGCTCTTCTGTGTCTTTCTGACCCAGTGGTTGGGGAAGGAAGCCGTGGCCCTCTGGCCACGTCCATGTTAGGCCATTCCCAGGGATGTCTTCCCACCTGGGGTATTAGCATAGCAACAGATGCCTGCCTTGCATTCTTGTGGTGGAGAATTACAGCTGCTGATATTAATGTAACCGGAAGTGTGCTTATAAGAGGGCTAATTTTCTGGCTTCTGAAGGGAATTCAAGACATATTTGGAGCATGGGATGAACAGATGAGCGCATTTCACCACTAATATATTTGAAATCCTTGCACATGGGGGGTCTTTAAGAAGAATGTGGAAGCTGTGTTATATTAAAAAAAAAATCAGAGGTTGTGAATTTTTTCACACTTGAACAAAGTTAAACCGTTAATTCCATTTACCTTTTGAAGCCCTCTCCTCATGGAGTTGAAGGGTTGGTCTGTCTTTGGCTCTGTGTGTTAATCAGAAAGGAAAGGGAGAAGGAGGCAGCACGTGCTGCCTTTGCAGCATCACAGTGAGCGCTTGGAAGGTGTCAGACACAGTCATTCCTGTCTGAACATCTCCAGACTGAGAAGCAGCTCTGGGGGGCTCACTGGAGCTCACTGCCAAAGCACCCACTTCCCTAGCCCTCTCCTCTGGGGGCTTGCCTGTGTCTGCATCTGTGCCTGGGTCTTCCCAGAGGGAATGAGAGAGGAGCAAACCCACTGGCATCTCACTCCTTGCTTTTGAAGGCAGGACATGTGGCTCAAGCTGAGGCTCAGAGTTGCCTGGCCCACATCACAGTACATCCTCTGACGCCTCTGTATGTCACACCCACAGTTGTAGTGGTTCCTGGGATGACCATGTGACTAGGCTGGCAGAACAGAGTGTGGCTTTGAGCCAGGGTTGGGGGTCGGGAGCGGGGAAAAGATCCAACTTCCTCTCCCTGCTGGGGCTTCCTCAGGTCCTGCCCTTTCATTGTTCATATCCTGCCATAGCAGTTCTTGCCTTATATGCACTTCATCCATTCTCTTGCATAGCCAACATGCGTCTTTCCTTGCTTCACTCCAGCCTCTAACGTAAAAGTGGCCTGTGCTGCTCCCACCAGCCAGGAAGTGATTTGGAACCTTGCGGGATATTTAACAACATCTGAAGACCTCTGTGGTTGTCTTAGCTGGCTGGTGACAGGGTGGTGGTGGTGGTGGTGATGAGGACATGCTGGAGCATCCAGACAGCTATTAAACATCCTTCCAGTGCGTGGGCCCTCCCTGGCAGAAAAGATGATCCAGTCCAAAGGTTTGCCAATGCCGTTAAGGCTGAAAAGTGTTCATTGCTGAAATCACAGGCTTGAAATTCTCTCTCACTGTCCCTTTGTGTGTATCATATGAATATGTGTGGGGTTTTTGCGTGTGTATGTATTTATATAATGTAGCATTAAAATAAATATTAAAATCTGAGCATAAAATGGAAATATTCCTGTGGGTGCCCACTGAAGTCCTCTAAATCTAAGCTCAAACCTGGGCAGCAGGCTTTGGGAAATGTGTTCCTCCTTTGTCTGACCAGAAGATTTAGCTAAAATTTCCCCAGCTGTATCTTGAAAATGATAATCTATCTCTAATTTTTTAAAAATCTACTTTATTTATTTGAAAAGCAGTGAGACAGGCAGATGGAGATCTTCTAGCCTCTGGTTGGCTCCTCAAATATCCGTGACATCTGGGGCTGGGCCAGTCCAAAGCCAGTGGCCAGAAATGACATCTGGGCCTCCTAGCAATTGGGCTAGCACTGCTGCTTCCTAGGGTGCAGTGGCAGGGAGCTGGAATTGGGAGTACAGCTGTTTTTTCAAGTCTAGGCACTTCGATATGAGACACGGGCATCCTAAGTAAGCATCTTAACCACTGTGGCAGCCCTCCACTCCAGCCCTTCTCTTCTGGATGAATTCTTCCCCAGAAGAAAGATTAATGAGACCCAGGAAGTCCCTTGTGTGAAGTGTACGTGTCCAGAATTCTGGAAGCCTGATCTTAACCTCCCTGAGGTGACTGGGGCAGCTGCACTGGAATGGTTCTATCCTTGACCCTGTTGTGTCCTTTGTGCTGGACACCACCTGACTTACTTTTCAGTGACTCAATGGGAAAGAGCAGTGGTGTGCCAAAGGCTTTATCCAGCACATGGTTAGGGTGATAGCTTCTGCCAAGCAATAACCACTCTCGAAGACATGTCTGTTAGCCCAGGAGAGATGTGCCTCAGTCTGCAGCCATTGGTGATGCAAGAGAGAGGCTCTGCATTTGAGCTACGTCATTGGGGGAAATGACTGTATTTGTCTCTCCATGATGCTTATTCTGGCTCATTAAGTTCTTGGTCTTTAGGGAGCTGTAGGCTAGAATTATCTTTCCCTGAGTTCTGATTTCCCATTTTAAAGAGATGTTGGAACCCAATCAAGGCTCTTTTCTGCAACTTGTTGGCATGGGGCTGTGCCCAGATTGAACTTGTTGCTCTCGATAAATGGCGGGATCTTGTTCAGCCACCTGCAGGCAAGGCAGACCAGAAGAACAGGGAAAGTGAGCATGAAGGAGTGTAGTCCCCTAAACATTTCCCGGGTACCATGGCAAGATGGTGGCTATAGCCAAGCTGGAAGTACCAACTCTACACATGCGGAGTATCAGCTCTGTGTTGGTTTCACTTCCTCCCCAACTTTTATACCATTGGCTCCTAAGGAAGCCATGGCCTGCTGTATGCTACAGCCCAGGTTCCACAGGTATACCTGTCTGGTTAGATTGTACCGCCAACCTCATCCTTCCCACATGCTTTAGCAGCCTGGCCTGTTCAGGGCCCAGCCTATGTACAAGCCTGCCTGTTCCTTCATGTACTTCTAGGGTGATTAACATTGGTCCTCGGCCACTAGTGGTTCCTCTGTCCTCCATGCATCTGTTCTGAACTTGGAGGGGGGTGGGGCTCTTGCAGGCTTCTCTTTGCTGTCAGTACAGCAGAACTTGGCATCTGTCGGCTTCAGCAGGACTCTGCTTAAATGGCCAGATTCATCCCATGAGGAAGCCGAGGAAGGTTGCAGTCCCTGGTGTCAGCTGTCCCTGGGGAAGTACCAAGGGAGTCCTGGCTTGTAATGGCAAATGCTTGTCTGTGCGCCAGATGGTGGTTCCCCAGGAACCCGGTAATCCAGAAATGTGAATTGGGTTAGCAGCTCAGTGTCATTATCCTTATGCCTACTTTCACATGGCATTCGCCATTTGCCAAGAACTGGGCTTTCCCTTGAAATCCTCAAGTTTCAGACAGTCCTGTGGGTGTCCTTAGCAACACTCAGTTTCCATGTGAGGCACCTAAGGGTCAGAGGTGAAGTTACTTGCCCGCAGTCACCCTGGAAGTACAAAGCACTGTTGGGTGTCATACTCAGAGTCACGTGACCTCAGAGTCTTATCCTTTCAATGCCTGTTCCACTTGGCCAGAAAATAAAGCTGCCCAAACCAGTAGAAATATTTGTTTGTGCTCAGACAATGCTGGAGGGACTAGCTCAACATGTGGCACCCAAGGGTGGTAGACAATCAGAGAACACTTTGTAAAATATCCCCAGATGTACTTAGGCACATAGTGTATGTAGAGAGAGGGACGATGGGTGGTGGGTGATGGATAGGATGAATGGATAGGATTTTATAGAGAATGTCTTGTACAAGTATTCCCAGATGTACTTATAGAGAGATGGAAGATGGATGAAAAGGTGGATAGATAAGGAATGCTTTGCACAAGTATTTAGATACATTGTGGGGAGAAAGAGAGATGATGGATGGATGGCTAGCTTGAGATACATACATACAGAGAAGCCTTTGCATTGAGTAATTTTTTTTTTTGCCATGGAGGTCATCACAAGGCTTACAGGTGATGGGTGATCGATCCAATAGCAATTAAAACAAAAAAATGAAACATCTCTCTGCACATCAACAGTGTTCTGATGAACTTGGATGCTGATTTGATTCCCTTCTTATTGATTCCCAAGACGCTTGATCATTTCTGAGTCTGCTCCAGTTGGCATGGCCCCTTGTCATTTAATTTCAGCCTCCCCTACTCCTCCCAGCAGCCGCTCTGTCAATTAGTTAATGGGCTCTCCTGGAACAAGGAGACACCTTGGGAGCGGTAAGAAAGGAGCTCTTTTGTAGAGCAAAGAGCTGTCAGTCTGGGCTCTTGTTGAAGCAGACCTTCATTTACATAGAACTCCCTCTGAGGGCCTGAAGATGAAGGACATCTGGAGGAAAACTCGTGACTGCTCAGTTTTCAAAACCAACCAGGTACTTGAATCCTTTTGATCAGCTAAGTGGGAGCAGAGGGGAAGGGAATGCCATTCATGTTGCTTAAAGATGTTGCTGGGGCCCTGAGGACTGTGAAGAAAGAAGGAACAGCACATGTGAAACCAAATTGCCCCTTTAAACTTACACCTACGTCAATGCAGTTGTCTCTTTGCTTATTCAGTAAATAGTTCCCAGGCCTGACAGGGGCCAAGCCTTGTGCTAGATGCAGTAAAGGCAGCATTGGGCCAGATGGAGAGGACTCCATCCAGTGAGGCTTCCACTCTTGCTTGCGAGAGTCATTCACGACACAGCAAAACCAACCCTTGCTTCGGTAATTGCAGGTAGTAGTAGATGAACAGACATCAGTCAGGTGCTTTTGCA